CAAAGCAATAATCACCCAAATGACCCTTCCGATTGTAATATGTGCAATGAAAGAGATCCATTTATTTTTATGGACAATTAGCTCGTGCACGGGAATCATTTGCAAATAAAGATTGTCTTTTAGAATTATTTTACAAATGAGAAACATTTTTAAACAATGATCTATTTGGAACATATTACAATTTAGAAGCTTTTTGCATATCATAACAAAATTTTGCAAGATGTCCAAACCTACCACAAACATTACATTTAAAAACATGTGGTCTACTTGAAGCATTTGGAAAATTTGAGTTCTTTTTCAAATCAAAGCAAAACTTGGCCAAATGACCAAAACGACCATAATGATCACATCTATACACATGAGCATGCTTATGATGAACAATGGGTGCATGTGTGTGTACATGTGATGAAGAAACTTGATGAGATGCACAAGGAGCATTGACACTTTTATGTTTGTGTGTATCATAACAAAATTTAGCTAAATGGTCTTTACGACCGCAAATAGAGCACTTGTAAACTTTGCTATATATGTATGCATAATGAGTGGATGATGACTTGTTTGCACTAGACTTGGCACACATATTCATAAGCTTCTTATGGTTGTTAATGCATGTATTAAGAGTTGAATCTAAAGAAGAAATACGATTTTTAACATTGTTCAACTCATCATTAGGCATATTAGCATTAACTTTAGAAGTAGAACATAAATAATTATTTATAAAAGAAGCAGTATCATTTTTTATGTTCTCTACTTCTAACATGGTATTATCTTTTTTATGAGTTAAACTAGTAACATTTGAAGTTAAAGAAACATGATCCAATTTTAATTTTTTATTGTTTTCTTTAATGATCACATTTTCATTAGAAATCGTTTTAAACTTAGATGCTAACAACTCATGATCGGATTTCAAATCTTCATGCTTGCTTTGTAAATCAATAAAATCTTTATGTAATTTGTTATAGGCATGCAATAATTTTTCACTAGCACAAGCAAGTTCATCACTAGATAAATCATTAGTGGTTTCGAACTCGTAAACTTCACTAGGGCTGTCGCCTAGTGGTCGTGTGCATGATGCTACATATGAGCTTGAAGCCGGATCATCCAAAACTTGTCGGATCGCCTCCAAGTCTACTTGATGTGCTTCAATAAATTTCTATAAGGTGTAAGCACTATCAAAATGAACAAACTTGTTAGACAAAGATGAATCAAATGCATTATGTAAGAATTCCAACAAGAGCTTGTTCATAATAAATAATCTTTTATCATTTTTATTCCACTCGGATTTTTCCAATGTGGGCACAATATAAGCACAATCAATGACTTCCCATTAATTGATATTTTTAGATTGAATAAATATTTTGAATCTAAAACACCATTGAGCATAAAGGAAAACATTGAATTTAGGAGCAATACTAGAATCATAGCCTAAATAAGATGCATCATTCATATCCATAATTTATAAAAATATGCAAGCAAGAAACAAATGCAATCAAAACAAGATTAGCACAAAAAGATAACTTGGATCTTTAACTCAAGGCGATTAGACTTAAATCAAAGAGCACCAAGCTCTGATACCAATTGTTAGACCCTAGAGAAGGGATGATTAGGGTCTTATGCTAATCTAATCCGATTTTATGCTAATTAAAATTAATAACAAATTATTCTTGTAAGAGAGATATACAATATGTTACAAGCAAGAATATGCAATATGAACAAAGAGATATATCCCAGCAAAGAGGTATATGATGAAATATATGTAAGGATATATAAACTAACACAAGGGTGACATAATCAAACTACAAATGTGATAGGGCAAAATATACAACAGTAAAGGTAATTGGTGATATAAGATAAATGCATAAGCAAATGCACCAAAGACAAACTCAAACACACTCAAATGATCACGGAGTTCGGACCTTCCGTCCTACGTATCCGCTCCCCACTCCCGGGGAGAAATCTACTATCACAACTGGGTTTTCTACGCTCACCCGAATAACGTTTACACCTTACAATGTCGGTTTTCAACGCTCACCGATCAACGTTCACAAACACTCACAATGTCGGTTTTCAACGTTCATCGATCAACGTCTACACTCCTCACACTCGGTTTTCTAGCTCACCGAAAACTTTACAATCTCATAATATAACAAATGATTTGTTCTCTACAATAGATGAGAACTCAATGTAAGCTCACTCTTAATTATTACAACTCTCACCAACCCAATTATACTATGTATAAAAATACAATAAGCTCAATGTGGGTGTGTGTAACAAAAAGGTAAATCAAATCTAAACTCAATACAAAACTAGCTTTAATAAAATGATAAACAAGCAAATAGATATAAAGTTAGAAAATAGAGTTTAGAAAACTTCTCAATAGATCAAGAGATTGAAGGAGGATGGTTGGATGCTCAAGCACCAATAGGATCTCCTCAAGCTCTTGTGAAATTAATTTCACAAACCCAAAACTCTCAATTGCTTAAAAGCTTCTTAAACACTCTTTTAGACAAACACTAAATAAGTTTAAACCATTGTTAAACACTTTTAAAACATTCTCTTGGGTTATTGAAGAACTGAGATCAAAGGGGTATATATAGCCTCCCAAAACCTCAGCCAAAAACCCCAAACAAAAGACCAAAAAGCCCATAGAATCCAAAATCAAATTCTGTACAAAATAGCCGTTGGAGTATACGGCGGTCGACCATGAAAATCTCGGGTCGACCGTGGCGGTCGACCGCGAAAGTTTCTGTTTGACTCCGTAGGTAAAAACTCAGGTGTGGTCGACCGTAGCGGTCGACCGCAAACTGATACATGAACAGAACAGTTTGAAAGTTAATTTTCTGATTTTAAAACCCTATTTAAAAATATCAAATAAATTCAGAAAAATATAAAACTTTGGGAAATGATTGTAGACATGATAATACACATGCTACAAAAACTGGTTTTCAAAAAGGACTTCCTAAATAAAAAATATCATCATTTTGCAAAATAGTCCAAAACATGAAAATGTGAATACATGAGTTTTGACATTTTAGCTTAACCATGTTTTGAAACATTACAAAATGATTTTGTAGACTTAATAAAAGATTGTTAAGTCTATAAATCAAGAAAATAATATTTTCACAAATACAATAGAAAATAAAACATATAAGTATGTATATAAAAATATATTTGTTTCATATCTAAGTAGTTAAACCAAATCACAAAAATAAATATGAAATATTTAATTTCATATTTATAAACATGAAAATCAAAACTTGTGTTGTATATATATATGACTACATATATATAAAGAAACCAATAAAATGTGTGTGTATATGATATTGAGCTTAACGTACTAATACACATAATATAAAACCTAAACTAAATTACCCAAGCTATCTTGATCTTCAATAAGCTTGACTTGGTAAACTTGCAGATGAAGCTTGAACTTAAATCTTTAACTTGAATTGCAAGGCTTCACTCCACAATTCCGCCAACCTCTATTGGATATGATCGTAAATGCGCAATTCCATCCATCCTCTAACTTATTGTTTGTCTACAATAAATAACAAAATACAAACACTAGACAAATAATATTAGATGTAAATTATTTGTTAAATCATCACCAAAACAAGAAGGCCAACAATTATTTCTGGCCAGATTCTTTGAAGACGACTCAGAAGTTTCGGTCCCTTCTCTTCTTGCCACCAAGCAAAGGAAAGGAGAACCCATAAAAGTTTTTGTTGAAAGATTTAGAAGCATGGCTCTCCGATGCCCAACAGGTATGATGCAAGCAACTCTGGTGGAAACCTGTCGACACAACTTATAGAACGGTCTCTTAGCTCAGATGGGGGTCACAGAATGCCGTTCATGGAAGCAACTAGTCTCTCAAGGTGAACAAGCTGAGGAAATCGTCACCAGGGTTAAAGCTGAAGAGGAAGATAAGCAAAGACAACCTGCACAACATGGCCAAAATAATGCTCCTCGATCCAAGGGAAAAGATATTCTAGCCGCTGAAACTAACACTCGAGTGCCACCTGCTAAGCAGGGCAAGGCATCGAGCCAGCCGAGAACATCCAAGCAGTACTCCTTCAAGCAGGATCATGTGATCACTCTTTTCAAGCTACTTCAGAAGAATAACAAGTTGAAGCTTCCTGAAGTTAAGAAACCTGAAGAAGCAAGAAAGGTGGAAGACCCTAACTACTGCCTATACCATAGAATGTTGGGTCATCCAAAATGCATTTGAAGAGATCAAGCAATATCTCACTCAGCCGCCCGTTCTAGTGGCCCCGTTGACAGGAAAATCATTCCTGTTATATGTGAGGGTCATAGAATATTCTCTTGGAGCTTTATCAGCTCAGAACAATAATGAGGGCCATGAGCAGGCAATCTACTACCTTAGTAGAACCATGATTGGAGCTGAACACCGGTACAATCCGGTGGAAAAAGAATGTCTTGCCTTGGTTTTCGCCATTCATAAAATGCGGCATTACTTAGTTGGACAAACTATTCATGTTATCTCCAAAGTGAACCCTTTGAGAGTTCTCATGACGAAACCTTCTTTGCTAAATTACCGCCTTACAAAATGGGCAATACTTCTGTCACAGTATTCAATGCAGTTCATGCCTCAGAAGGCTGTTAAAAGCCAAGCCCTGGCAGATTTCTTAGCTAACCATCCGGTGCCTGATTCTTCTAGATTATATGAAGACTTATCAGACGAAGTTGCAGAAGCTTATGTAACTCAAGGAGTCATGCAAGTATGGAAATTGTTCTTCGACGGTGCATCTAGAGCAAGTCTTGATGGAGGAATCACAGCCGGTGTGGGGGTTGTGCTCGTATCCTCAACTGGTCAGGTGATCCCAAGAGGATTTTCCTTAAACGAGCCATGCACCAACAATGTAGCGGAGTACAATGCTTTGCTACTAGGAATGCAGCTGGCCGAGGAGCTCAACATCCAATACCTTGAAGCCTACGGTGATTCTTAACTCATTGTAAATCAAGTCCGAGGAGAATACGAAATGCGTAATGAGGATTTGGTCCCATACCACTTTGTGGTGCTAAAGTTAGCTCAAAATTTTAAGGGCTTCTTTATCGGACACATTCCAAGGGTCCGTAACGCCTATGCAGATGCCTTACCTTCACTAGCAACTTCACTGGCATTGCCACCAAAGGCAGAAACAAAGATACTCGTGGCAGGCCATGATTTGTATCACCCTAAGTTCCCTCTAGGAAATCGCTCAGAAGAGGCAACAACAGAGATCATTTGTGAAGCTTCCACAAGTCTTGAACAAAGTGATTGGCGATTCCCATTCATCGATTATGTCTTGCACGACATCCTACCCGATGATTCTAAAGAAGCGGCCGCCGTCAAATGGAAGGCCCTTCGATTCTATTATGATGCGACATCTCGAACTTTGTATCGAAAATCATATGATGGAGTTTTACTTCGCTGCCTTTCTAGAAAATGTTAGACCCTAGAGGGGGGGTGATTAGGATCTTATGCTAATCTAATCTGATTAAATGCCAATTAAAACTAATTAACAAGTTATCCTAGCAAGTATGAAATACAACAAGATATGTAAGCTAGGATAAGTAATATGAACAAGGGATATATCCTAGCAATGAGGTATATTATGAGTTATATGCAAGTATATGAAACTAAGGGTGATATAAACATAAACAAGATAGTGGGCAATATAATCAACAAGCAATATACAAAGGCGATATAAGATAAGAACATAAAATTAAGTGCGCCAATGCAATCACAAACAAACAATATGATTACGGAGTTCGGTCCCCACGACCTACGTCTCCGCTCCTCACCTCGAGGAGATCTTCACTATCACAACCAGGTTTTCTACGTTCACCCGAACAACGTTTACACCTCACAATACAATCACTATGCAATCACACCTCACACACTAAGTGTTGGTCCTAGCCCGTGTCCTCCTCCTCAAGTGCTCGGTTATAACCTCTCCCTAGGCACGTCAACCGACGCCACTCCTCTTGGATTCGACCCCGTCTCTCACCACACACTTCTTTCGGTGTACAAGTGTATTACAAGTGAATCCTCACAATTAGGCACATTATAAATCAACTGATTATTCTCTAAACAAGATGAGAACTCAATTAAGCTCACTCTCAATGTCACAAACCCACAACCCTAAATTATACTATGAATGTAAATACAATAAGCTCAATAGGTTGTGTGTGAACAAAGAGAGAAAATAAAATCAACTAAACTCAATATGAATACTAAATTGCTAGATGAGTTTAGAAACACTTCTCTAAAGATAACAAGAGAGTGGGAGAAGAGTGAATGCTCAAACACCAAAGGATGATCTCCACTTGCTCTTGTGAAATTTGCTCCACAAACCAAACTCTTGTAAATGCTTAAAAGCTTTTTAAACAAACACTAAACCTTAAACAAAACTTGTAAACCTCTTAAAAACTTTTCTCTTGTTATTCTCTTGACAAAAAGATCAGCAATGGGGTATTTATACCCTCTAAAAAGCTCAGCCAAAAACCCCAAAACAAATGACAGAAAAGTCCCCAGAAGACAGCTCAGAAAAATAGCCGTTAGTGTCTAACGGATCTATTGGCGGTCGACCGACAGAACGTTCGGTCGACCGAAAGAAAGAATTCGGTCGACCGACGAAAAATCCGGTCGACCGCGAGCAGGTCTGAAAAACAAAGAAACAAGCAGAGACTTCGTCGGTCGACCGGTGCGGTCGACCGATAGAGCTTTCGGTCAATCGGACTGGTCGACCGACAGACTCTCTGTCGCCCAGTGAAGAAAGATCAAATGATCGGTCGACCGGTGCGGTCGACCGAAAACTGACATAAAAAAAGCTGATTTGCAGATTTTAAAACCCTGTTTAAAAATATTAAATAAATTCCAAAAAATGTAAAACTTTGGAGAATGATTGTAGACATGATAATAAACATGCTACATCGACTGGTTATCAGAAAGGACTTCCCAAATGTAAAATATCATCATTTTGCAAGGAGGTCCAAAACACAAAAATATAAACACATGAGTTTTGACATTTTAGCTAAACCATGTTTTGAAACAATACAAAATAATTTTATAGACTTAATAGAAGATGTAAACTATTGTTATGAAGTCTATAAATAGTGAATATAGTATTTTATCAAAATACACATATAATACACTAAAACATGATTTTATGGAACTAAATAAAATTGATATTGATGAAATCATATAAATGTATTAAGTATGAAACAAAAATATGTTTTCCAATTGTATTCAATTGTTTCATAGTAAAACTTGAAAACTATCAAACCAAAACATATATGTATATATATAACTATATATATACATGGAAACCAATAAATGTGTGTGTGTGTGTGTATGATATTGAGCTTAGAGTATATAACACACATAATATAAAATCTAAAACTACATTACCCAAGCAATCTTGATCTTCAATTAAGCTTGACTTGGTACACTTGTGGATGAAGCTTGAACTTGATCTTTAACTTGAATTTTATAGGCTTCAACCCGACATTCAGCCAACCTCCTTTGGATATCATCGTTGAAGCGCAATTTCATCCATCCTCCAACTATGTTGTTTGTCTATAATAAATAAGAAAACACAAATACTAGACAAACAACATTAGTGGTAAATTGTTTGTTAAACATCATCAAAACAAGAAGGCCAACAGAAAAGAGGCACAAGAAGCCCTCAAGGAAGCTCATGATGGAATGTGTGGAGCTCATCAACCCGGAGCTAAACTAGGAGATCGACTCGGCAAGCTCGGCTATTACTGGCCTAAAATGATCGTTGACGCCGTCAATTATGCTAAAAGATGTCATGCGTGCCAGGTCCATGGTGATTTCATTCATTAAGCACCAGGGAATCTGCATCCGACATCTCCATCTTGGCCATTTGAGATGTGGGGAATGGATATTGTTGGACCCATTTTCCCTCCAACATCCAAAGGGCATCGGTTTATCTTAGCAGTAACCGATTATTTTTCCAAATGGGCAGAAGCAGTTCCTTTGAAAGAAGTCAAGGCTTCGGACGTGGTCAAGTTCATCAAACACCATGTCGTCTACCGTTTTGGCGTACCCAGACGAATAGTTCATGATAATGGAGCCTAATTTGTCAGCTACAGTTTTTAGAGATTTTGCAATAAGTTTAGAATCCAAAGCGTTGCGTCAATAACATATTATCCGCCAGCTAATGGCCTTGCAGAAGCTTTTAACAAGGCGATCGTAAAGCTTCTTAAGAAGTTCATCTCCAAAGGCCGACGCGGCTGGGACAAACAACTCGGCTAATGTCTATGGGCCTATCGTACAACGGTGAGGACCCCAACAAAAGCTACTCCCTTCTCTTTGGTATATGGCTGCGAGGATGTGCTACCAATAGAAATTCAGATCCCATCCCTGAGAGTTGCCCTTGCGACCGGGATGACAGATGAGGACCGTCATCGACTATGCCTTCAAGAACTAGAAGCGTTGGATGATAAGCAACTTCATGCTCAACAACAGATCGAGTTATACCAAGCCCGAATCTCCAAAGCCTATAACAAAAAGGTCAAAAAAGGATCTTTAAGAGAGGTGATCTTATCTTAGCAGTCAGACAACCTATGATCATGACACACAAGACGAAAGGGAAGTTCAATCCCAAATGGGAAGGACCCTTCGTGGTAGAGTCAGTCTACTCGAATGGAGCCTACCGTCTCATCAATAAAAAAGGTGATATGCTCATGATGCCAATCAATGGAAAATTTCTCAAGAAATATTACCTATAGAGAATCATGGGACCCCCTTTTTTTTCTTCCCCCCAGCTGAGCCTAAAAAGAGAAATTGAACTCACTTAGACTGGGGGTTGGTTGCTTAGAATCCACTGGATTAAGAGTAACAAAATCTTTCACGTCGTCAGGTTAATATTACACTTCTGATGATCATCATCCCCATGGAGTATAACTTCAGTCTGTTTCATATTTAATATGACAATCTTCTCTGGTGACAAAATTCCCTCTAACAGTCAACTTAACAATCCTCTTCAATAGGATGGTAGGTCCTCAAAATTGCTCAAATCGTAATCTTCCCCAACGAGATGCTAAGTCTTCAAAATCTTGTTCAAATCACAAGTACAAACTCGTCAAGTTAACATCACACCTCTGACGACCAAACCAGCTTATCGACTCTCTTCAATAGAGCGATAGGCCTATAAAATACTGTTAGGTTAACATCACACCTCCAACAGTCAGACCCCCAATGAACTTGTTAGGTCTATTTCAAAAAGAAATAGCAAGTCTTCATTGTAGAATCTCCAGCGGATTGAAGATTTTATGGAGTTATCCTAGTGATAATGAAAAAAATTTCTGAATTTCACTCTAAGTAAAAATTCATGCCAAGTTAATACTACACTTCTGACAGTGCCAACTTTCTTTTAGTGTTTCAAATAAAAACATAACACAGGAAGAAACAGCGATAAAGTCTATGTATTCAATATCATAGCACTAAGCCTAAGAGAGTTCATTCTTTTAGCACAACATTATAAGTGAAACAGACTTAGATAATCCACATGCTAGCCCGACTCAAATGATAGTCGGTAAAGGCTTATCAAATCCGTTGATGGCTGAGGGTTTGCCACAAATCCTATTGTATGCAGAATCATGAAAATCATTTTAGGATCCAAAGTATTTCGAAAATTCGTTCCAGTGAACCGCGAACTTTCGAAAACTTTGGAGGGGGTTCTGTAGGCTGTCTAAAAATCACTGCAAATAGCTAATTTCCACAGATTCAACAGATAATGAAAGATACAATCTGACGTCCTTCACATCAACAAGCGGAAGTTACAATCTGACGGCCTCCGCAAATAGTCAATGAAAGTTACAATGTAAAGACTTTCACAGCAACGTGTTAGAGTTGCAAATTAACGACTCTCTCATTCCACAAAGGCCAAGTATAAAGATTACAAAATGACAATCTGCACAGAAGTCAAAGGAAAGAGATTACAATTGACGATCTCTACAAATCCAAACGCGAAGGTCGCCAGACGCGAAGGTCGCCAAACGCGAAGGTTGCCAGACGCGGAGGTCACCAGACACGGAGGTCACCAGACGCAGAGGTCGCCAGACACAGAGGTTGTCAGACGCAGAGGTCACCAGACGTAGAGGTCACCAGACGCGGAGTTCGTCCCAAGCCCAGACGCGGAGGTGGCCAGACGTAGAGGTCGTCAGACAAAGAGGTCGCCAGACGCAGAGGTCACCAAACACGGAGTTCGTCCCAAGCTCAGACGTGGAGGTCGCCAGACACGAAGATCGTCAGACGCAGAGTTCACCCGCGTTTTTCTCTCCAGAATGCAACCCTTGCGTTTTTGACGCTGGAACACTTTTCAAAACTGTCCCATCAAGGTATGGGCACAGTTAAGGGCCCGTTATGGGGTACATTACTCCATGATAACCCTATAAATAGGGTTGGATCTCCAGCAAG